GAGAGAAGAGAAAAAAGTATAGACTTTTATAAAAAGTAATAATTAATTTTACAAAATAAAACAAAGTCTTTAAAGAGAAAGAATACAGGCAGTCATAAATTAAAGGAATAAAGAAAATAAAACATAAAAAGATGGAAAATACACAGAGAGTCTAGATTATGTATATTATTGTGTTTTCTTTAAATTTTTGACTGTAAATGAGCTAAGTATAGAGAGACATTTCATTGTATGGGCTGTTAAATTAAATTGACATATATATTTTAAAGGTATCTTGACTACAAATTTGGGTCTAAGGATATGTTACTCTGGAAAAGAGGTTTTTTTTTTTTTTACCAGCTAATATGGTTTTATCAAACAAGACTGACTGAAGCAATGATCCAAATGATTCAACAGCCACAACAGCTTCAAGACTGCTGGTTGAGGAGGATCTAACACAATGATACTCTGTGAAAAACCTGATTAACATTGACCCAAATCTGAAGGAAATATTCTAGAGAGCAATACCCTAATTCCCTAAATGATTGTCTATAAATGTTTTCTTATATTTAAAGGGGAATATGCTATAGAGATGAATATGTTGTATTGGTATAGATCTTGGTTTATTGATACTAATTCAAGGTCAACTTTGTTATATGTATTTTTCTGTTTTGATTAATGTGTTTGTGCAACTTATTTAAAAATATAATGTATAATTAAGAAATACAGGTTAATATATAGTTATCTATAATAGTCAAGTTAGTAATCATATTAGTTAGGTTCTCTAGATGTACAAAAATATATTTTGGATGGATAGGAATTATTCAAACTTTTCGAAGACTAATAGAATATGGCATATAAAATGGTTTAAGAACTTAGGACTTTTCATGATAATTAAACACATCTGTTCCTGGCAGCACCAATCTACTTCAAGAGAATGATGGACAGCAAAGAGGCTTCATCTGGAGTTTTTAGCCATTTGGTCAAGAAACTGCTATTGCCTTCATGGCTTGATGGTATGCTATATGAAATGGACATGAAGTGCCCACAGCAAAGTGACTGCTCAACTTGCCTAAAGGTGAGGCCCAGTTCTTCAGGGTTCCTGCTTCATTAAAGAATTTGCCAAACATTCTTCAGGATAGAGAAGAGAGTGACTGAGAAACTGCCAATAGAGACAAAACAGTCTTACAAATCTCCTGCTTCATGGCAAAGTCTGCTTTATACCATGGGTGTGTAGGCTAAATATGGATGCCCTGATGGATGGAAGAGCTTTGGGTGACAATCCAGGCAGTGGATGTATCTGTTAATGGTAGAGTTTTGGAAGTTCTTTACAATGCACTTCCTGTTAACTTAGGTATTATTATGTCCTTTTGACTTCTTTGAAATAGTTGAAGAATAGATAGTTATAGTTTTAATTTGTCATGATAAAAGATAAAGTACATATAAATAGTGCAACTGTAATTCTTAATTGATAACTGTTTTTATATGTAATTTTACTCTGATAAAGTTGAAACTTGCCTTTTGAATTAGAAAGAAAATGGGAGGTGATGTGGGATTCCCCTCTTTATTCTGTGAATAATTTTTATTACCGTTGGATAATAAGGAAGCTGCTTTTGGCCTATGGAAGAGCAGAAAATCGCCAGACATGAATTCTTAACTGAGATATATAGAGGGAGTAGGCCGAATCAGAGAGATGGCATGTAGCTGCCAAAGAAGACAGATGCCCCAGAACCTTATCAGTAAACCAAGAGACTCACAGTAAAATATAAAATAGTAGGAATGTTTTAAGATGTAAGAGTTAATTAATAAGGAGCCCAAACAGTATTGTAATTAATATAGTTTTTGTGTGATTATTCAGGTCTGGGTGGCTGGGAATGAACGAGTAGCCTCTACCTACATTATCTCACTAGTTCATTTCTTTACATACTGTGTAATGTTACAGCTATGCACTACTGCTTCCAAAGGGAATCATTGTTAAAAGAACAAAACAGTGTTAAAATCCCTGACTTCAACAGTAACCAGCTTAATAAAACTTTCGTTCATTCCTCTGGTGCCCTCTCCAAAAATGTAAATTTCTAGTTGTTAATATTTGGATTCCACATAAATTTTAACTCTGTTTGATACCCTAAAAGATCTACTGTATTGCACAGATTAACTGAATAGTTTGTAAACTAACTTTAAAATATGATGAACTAGTCTGTTTGGATGCTCACCTTCCTAGACCTGGATGGAGGGGGGAGGACCTTGAAATTCACACAGGGCAGGAAACCCTTGTAGTAGAGACCCAGTAAATCACCTTGCTAGCAAGGGGTGGGGTCCCCCGAGGATATTTTTTACTTATAAAGATTGCGGGCCTGCTCCCAGCCGCCCCTTCTGCTTTCCTGTTCTCCCCGGGAACCTGTGGTTCTGTAAGTCTATTTCCCCATTAAAGCTGTATATATTATTACAATCTGTCTGCATTAATTTACGCCACTACAAACCCTGACTGCTCTTTGGACTGGAGAGGGAGGAGGAGGGGAAGTAGGGAGATGGGGGAGGGAAATGGGAGGAGGGGAGGAGGTAGAAATTTTTAATATAAAAAAAGAAAAAATATGATGAACAAAGATACGCAGTCACCAAATGTGTTGTATTTTTTGCCAATTTGACACAAGCACAGACACATCTGAGAAGAGAGTATATACATTGATAAAATGCCTCTATAATAGTGCCCTGTAGGAAAGTGATTCCACCACTCAGGAGGTTCTCCTGGGTAATAAGTTAGAATGAAGAGTAAGACATAAGAAAGAAACCAGAAGCAAGCAAGCATGGCTCCATGGCTCCTGCTTGAATTCATACCTTCAAGTTTCAGCCTACTTTGTGTTTCTGCTATGACTTCACTCACTAATGAAATTATAAAGTGAAATAATCTTTTCATCCCCACATTATTGTTATATTTTGTCATGATGATTATCATAAAAATATAAAATTTAGGCCAACATAAACAGCATGAAAGAAGCTGTGTTATTAGTTATGCGGTAACACTATTAACAAAACATTTAATCCCTATATGCTTTCAAATTCTGTAAGTAACTATTCATTTCATTTTTCCTCATCTCCATATAAAGTATTAGACCATTTTCCAAATTCTACTCTGTGTGTCAAGTATCACAGAAATATTAAAGTTAAACAACTACACATTGTTTGATTTATAAGGAGTCCAATATCTTTCATGAATTTTCTAAACATATTCAGAGGAAAACTTTTTTCTAAGAATAGTTTGGTAACAGTTACATTGTTTCTCTGGCATTCCCTAAATATGGATTATTTTAGATTCTAATTAATTATATTTAAATCATTTCACATACTATCTTTGTGTATGTGCGTGTGTATATGTCTAAGATGTATGCATTTTGCATGTTATGAAATTATTCACACATGTGGTTGTGGTCACTTTTCTATGGAGGTCTTCACCAAGAACACATGATTGGCCTCTATCATTTCCTTCACTTTTTCCCTCTCGAAAATCTACTCCACTTCTCCAGATGCATAATGACTGTCATACTTCTCCCGTACTTATCATTTTTATCTCATACTAATTGTACGTCATTCTTATTTAAAATATTTCATTGACAGGATGAAGTCTCAATCCTGAATATCTACAACCCTAATATATAAAAAAAAATTTCAATGATGTGTGTTTAACTGGCATAAATGCCATTCTAGAAATTAACTAATAAAATTCCTTTATGATTCTATTTTTTACTTTTAAACAAAATGTTCTCAGTACATGATAATACTACAAACTTTATTAGATAAGAGAATAGAAGAAGAAAGAGATTAAATAAAGTAGAACATAGGAAGGAATATGGGAAGGGGAGAATCAAATAAGAAGTACAAGAAATTTGTTTGTTGAGCTATCATAATAACAAATTTAAAGGATTTTAAAAAATATTTTAATAAAATTTGTTTTTGACACATATTATGTACTTTATGTGCCATGTATGTTGTAATTATGTTCATCCAAATAAAAATACTATCTTACAATCAATTCAAGATGACACCATTAATTTATAACTGGTAAGCTTAAAGTAAAAAAAAAAAAGTAAAAAGAAAAATACAATGAGAAATACACTTTATAATCAATGGATAATTATGCAAATTTTCCATAAATGAGCTTCAAAATAAGTTAGCCTATTTTAACATGATGATAGCTAAAACATTTGTATATCATTTTAAGCAAAATTTTGAATTAAATTCTGCTGTATATTGTGATATCAATATTTTGGCTAACTTAAGACAATTTTTTTCATAAACGTAAATTTCCTTGGCTTCAGTTATTTTGATTTGCAAAGAAGATGACAACTTTATCCATTTGAAAACATCTCTTACCAATTTTCTCAATTTAAACTTTAATATAAATAATGTTGGAAAATAACTTGAAATGAGCAAAGCCACAAGTAAATGTTTAAGCACTTTTTTATCTTTGTGTTCCTTCTTTTTGATGATTGTAATAGTTTTAGTTGTGTGGATTATTTTCTTTAAGTTGTCATGCATATCTTATAGATTTGTTAATATGTTAAATATATATCTAAACCTTTTAAACATGATTTGAAGAATTATAGAAAAATTGCTTTGTAATATGGAGTTGCAAATGATAAACATATAAATTTTAGCTCACTTCCACTTGAATGTTCAACTTGAAATCAAATTCACTTCAGGTATAAATAAAACTAACAAAAAATAGCATTATGTGTAAAGAAGTTTGTATTTCATACAGAGTATAGAAAAATAAATCCATCACATTATTCCATAGAGAAAAAGCCATTTTGAAGCAATAATAAAGTAGAAATTATTTTGTAATTTTTCTTCTAAATTTACCTTAAACAGTGTTATTATATTTGATGATTCTGCAAATATTTTACTTAAAATTTTGTCACAGGAAAAGTTAATAAGGATAGTAAATCAATGTTTTGCCAATCATATACTCAAAATTTTAAATCTATTGTCATGTTAATAAGGCTCTGATGTAAATTAATATACAATACCTTCTGGAGACATCTCTGGTACAGTGGCCTCATAAGGTTCATGTAGGAATTTGGGTTCATTATCATTGATATCCAAAACTCTGATGACAAACTCAGACTCGGGTTCCACAGCGTTTCCAGTGGTGCTGTCTATTACCTGGGCTCTCAGGATGTAGAGAGATTGCTCCTCTCTATTGAGCTTCCGTATAGCAAATATGTCACCTGTTCTTTCATCAATGCTGAAACTTCCAGCTCCAGTTTCCAGTAGCTTGTACTGGAAAGTGTGATTTCCATTGTCTAATTCAGATATTAGCTGCAAGTAAAAATAGACAAGTGAGTTTTCTTACATATGGAAAATTTTACTTAGTGTTCACCGTTTTCATTTATTTTAATCACTATCAATTAAACAATCTTGTATAATTCTTTATTATTATTATTACTATTATTATTATTATTATTATTATTATTGTTATACTTTGTTTTTTGAGACAGGGTTTCCCTCTGTAGTCCTGGCTGTCCTTTAACTCATTCTGTAGGCCATGCTGGCTTTGAACTTAAACAACCACCTGCCTCTACTTCCCAAGTGCTGGGATTACATACTTGAACCACCACCAGTTTATAATTCTTCATCAAATCAACTGAGAAAAAATACTAATGTAATATTTACATCCATGTCAAGCACTGGAATGGTTCCAAATTTCCGATATAATGATGTACCAAAATTTTATTATTTTAAACAAATAAGTCTAATTAGTTTAGAGTTATTTATAATTTGACTAATTATAGTCTATTTATAATTAGAATAAATATAACTTGACTAATTATAATTATACTATTTGTATCTAGTCTAATTATAACTTAGTATAATTTATAATTAAACTAATTATACTTATAAATACTTCTAATTAGTTTAGACCAATTAACTTAGGCTTTTTAGGCTGAAGAGAAGGCTCAGTGTTTGAGAGCTCTTATAGGGGACCAGGTTCAAGTCTCAGGACTAACACTGTAACTTACAACTCTATTTCACTACCGTTATAAAGGATCCAACAGCCCCATGCAGACATACATGGGGCAAATCACGAAAGCACATGAAATTAAAACAAATTAAGAAATAGCAAAAAGGAAATAAGATTGCTGTAAAATTATTCATTGAGTTAACTAAGTCAAACTTATTTCAATTATTAATAATGTAGTCTTAGTAAAAAAGATTATCTCAAATATTTTGCACATATATATATAATTAAGGAGCAAAAGACAGAATAATTATATGAATACATTTATTGCTTATTTTGAAATCTAGAGCGTCATTATACCTTTATAAAAATTATTATAATCATTATAAATGTTATCATTGTGATCATTGCATCTCTTAAAATATTTTCTCTATTCTTTGCATATGTATGTGTGTTTGTGTGTGAAGATTTTTCATAGTGCTTTGTGTAGCCCATCAAATGACAACAGGTGAAAGTCAGTTCTCTCATTTCACTATTTAGGTATCAGTGATCAAACTTAGCTTTTCAGACTTCAATTCTTGGACCTTTATCCACTGTACATCCTCACCTGCTTTATAGAGAAGAAAGTAGCAAAATAATTTACACTTTTTTGGTGTTGCATTAATTTTTGTATACTTAAAACTAGCCAACAACAACAACAAAAAAACTGTATGAGACCATGTCTTCTCCTGAGGACCACTATATTACAAATATTTAATCCTCAAGGAGCTGGGGACTATACTTTGACCACAGAACGCTTGTGTAGCAAACACACTTCCCTGAGTTTAATCACTTGTATCACTTAAATTAAAGGACAGCAATGGAGGGCTCCTAACTACAGCACAGGAGCAACAGGATATCAGAAATTTAAGATCACCCTCTTTTCTATATTCTTCCAAGAATAGCCTGTGTCTAGATAATATGTCAAAGAGAAAATCGATAAATAAGTTTAAAAAAATCTAAAAAAGTAGAAATTCAGCTAAGAATTAAAAATCATCTCACTGCACTACATACTAAATTCTCACATGCACATTTCCTTCTTATGGTTATTCTGCCATTCTGTTTAAATCTCAATAGTCAAAATCTATAGAGTTAAGGAATTAATCTGAATTTCAAATTTCTATGCAAAAATACAAGTGTTATTTTTATACAAGTAAATTGGCTACAGGACTTTTCATATTGAAATTATTCTAAAATGAAGATGTCACTGCATTGTAATTCAAAGATATTATTATTATTGATCAAATGTCTGTCCGTGGATCACCATTTTTGTGTATTTTCTTCCTCTGAGTAAAATTTCCAAGTAATTACATTCAACCAAGAAACACATTTCACAGTGATTCTGATTTTACAAGTTGTAAATTATTGTTTTGTGTTAATGAATATTATATGTGACTATGAGAAAAACCATTGCATTGCTTAAACAATCAGTATATTGTTTTAATAATAAATCCATATCACTTTTATGCAATGAAATAAACTACCAAACAGATTTTATTTCTGGCTACACCACTTAAGCATAAAAAGTTATTAATAAATGAATGGAGTTTTCTGTTTCATAGTGTAATAAATTAATAGAAATAAATTTATATAACAATCAATGTGTCAAATAATACCAATGATAAAAAGTTTCACTTTTGTAACTTGAGTCTTTATTCAATAACTAATAGAAGATAAATTAAATTTAGAAATGAATGAATGTATTCCACATCCATTTGCGAAATAATTTCCAAAGACCTTTGAACAGAGTTGATGGGGAACTTCAGCCAATCACATTCTTTTTATGGTGTGTCCCCCTTTGGCCACAGAAAAACAGTTAAATCATCCAGGTACAATTGCCTCCTTCCTTTTCGTGAATCACTGGAACCCTGGGTTTGTAAGTTCTCTTTCTTCTGTTTATTAAAAGCTGAATCTATTATAATAAACTGGTCTGGTTAATTGTAAATACCAATCAACCTCGCCCCTTCATTTGGCCTCATTTCCCACCAGGATTCAGCGTTGGGCTTTTAGGCTGCCCTCCCCTGCGCCTTGCACACTCCTCTTCCCTTGCACCTTGCGCCCCACCAGCCTGCCGCGACCTGGCCCCGGCCCCGGCTTTGGGCCGGCCTGGCTTCCAGACCGCCTGCAGTACTTGTGCCCAGCAGCAGCAGCAGCAGCACGGCCTGCACAGACAGCTCCATTGTTAGCTGCCCTCCACACATGTGACTGCTCTGCGTCCCCTCCCAGCCTCCCTGGCTGAGTCCGACCTAAGCTGCTGCCCTTCTATAGTTAAATAATTCACAGAGCATATGGTCTGTGAGTTTAAACTCTAGATTTGAGTATATATATTTCAGATTTTTTTCTTCCGGTTCTGACTCCCTGGCCACGTGGATTCAGGTGCACCCCGCCACCTACTGACAGGCAACAGTCATTACAGGTAAGATTTCTTTCGATTAAATAAATAAATAAATAAATAAATAAATAAATAAACAAACATACAGGTTTGATTAAAAATGTCAGACAACATAACTGTTCAAGATTTTCACAGCCTCTTTAATTGTACCATGTCTGAGATTTTACAAGATGTCTATGATATTCCACTTGTTTGGCTATTTCTGGGCCTTATCATTTTGATTGTTTTTGGCAGCTTCTTTATAATATGGTTTGATAATAGAAAAATGATGCAGTACTTACACACTAAATCCAGGATTCTTAGGACAGAGGTTGTAACCTTAAGGAAGGACACGACTGTTTTGAATGATAAATTCCAGTCGGTTGAGGTAATTTCAAAAACAATTCAGACTGACACCAACCTCTTCAAGAAAGAGTTTGGAGTTCTCAAGGAGGAGACTAGATCTTTGTCTGATATGACTCGGTCAACTGAGCAAAATTTTGAGGAGGCGCAGTCTAATATTAATTCATTTAAAGAGTTCTAACTGCCTTTCCAGTAATAACATCTGAAAAGGTGACAAGCTCCAAAAACTCTAGGATCATTAAGGAACATACATGGGAGCCTGTACGTATGAGTGATCTGAAAGAAATTAAACAAGCAGTTGTGAATTATGGACTACTTTCGTCCTTTGTTAGAAAGATGCTCAAAACCTGGGCTCTCAGTAACAAGGCTACATCTCTCGATTGGGCTCCATTGCTGTGTTAGAAAGCGGACCTCTATTACATTGGAAATGTCTTTTCAAACAAGAGGCCAGATTTTTAGAACAGCAGGAAAGAGCGAAAGGAACTGAGATTTCCCTAGATCAAATTCTAGGTGAAGCACTTTACTCTGATCCCTCAGGAACAAGCTCTTTATGATGACCACATCTTATCCATATTGCCACAGCAGCCTTGAAGGCTTGGGATAGGATTCAAGACCCAGGACAGAGAGTGGAATCATACCTCAGGGTTAAACAGGGTCAGAGAGAACCCTTTAGTGACTTTTTACAAAGTCTAAGGCTGTACAAATAGGGATACCTGACCCAGAAGAAAGATGTATAATAATTGACTCTTTGGCTTACAAGAATGCCAACATAGAGTGCAAAAGGATTCTGGGGCCTTTAAAAATCAGATCAGTACCCTTGAACAAATGGGTCTTGTATACAATGAATGTTGATACATTTGACCATGGCACTGAAGCATGGGTAGAAGAAGCAATTTCCAATGGTAAAAGAAGGCATCAAGATACCAAATGTTTTAATTGTGTTAAAATGGGACATATGAAAAGGAATTCCAGACAACGGATTTCCAGAAATAATAATAATGCCTCTTCTAGAAATAACAGGAATAGGAGGACTCAGCCTTCAAGTTTATGTAGGAGATGTGGCAAAGGAAGGCATTGGACGAATGAATGTAGATCAACAAGAGATATACAAGGCAATCCGTTACCATCGGGAAACACAATGAGAGGCCTCTAGCAGGCCCACATGGCAAACGTGGTCCAGGCATTTCTGGTTACTGCAGAGAACGTGCCTCATCAGGAAAATTAGAAAGCCCCATGCCTGCTGTTAGAAGCAATAACAGCCTGAAGGATGAATTAAATGTTGAGAATGAATCAAGAAATCTGGTAGGACAGAGTATACGTATATTTTGGTGGACTTCTATAAATGAACAAAGACCAAAGCTAAGAGTGTATGTAAATGGTATTTTTATTACTGGCTTACTGGACACAGGTGCAGATGTAAGCATCCAAAGTGGCCTCTTCAGGAGGTAGATATTCAGGTCCTGGGAATTGGAACCCTATCTCGAGTAAGTATAGGGTTGAGGGGATGGGGGAGGTATTTTATAGGCTCAAGGGTGTTTATTGTAAAAAAAA